GTCAACTGAGGGAGTGGGAAGGAGGTAGAATGAGGGTGGAGGGGGTGCAGGGCGGGGGAAGCGAGCCTGCATGGATGGAAGAGTAGAGGAAGAAGGGGGTGCGCCCGAGGGCGCGACCACCTGTGATAGTGGGGGTGGCCGAAGGTGTAAGAGGGCGAGGTCGGCCCGGGTCTGGGCAAGCTCATCCTCGAGACGGTGAACGTAGATTGAGCGGGGAGTAGCAGGAGTAAAGGCACGAGTGGCGCGGGGCATCCCATAAGGAGGAGAGTCATGTTGCGCTACGGTCGTGCGAAGGGGAGGGAGGAGCGGGGCACCCAGAAAAGTTGAAACCGCTGCAGAGGGTTGTGGTCTTGTAGCCATAGTGACCGAAGTCTGGGCGGGTGCCGCCACAGAGTGAGGAGAGGGCTGGTCCGTGGTGGCCGTCGCACTAGGAGCGTGGACGGTCACCAGGATGGCCGGGTTGGGGGCGGCGGAGGAGGACGCTCCACCGTGACCGCCACGTCGGAGGACTGGGGACCCGGATTGGGAGCCGGGAGAAGAGAGATAGTCCAGAGGTGAAGGACATGCAGCGTCCTGGAGTTTCCGCATGCCAGCGGCAAGAGTCGCCACCTGCGCCAGTAAGAGCGCGAGGGTCGCGAGTTGTGCCTGGATGGGCGCAAGGAGGGAGGTGAGGAGGGTGTGCAAATCCCCCTGGGGCTGATGGCCCTGGTCCACCGGCACGGGTGTGGAGCCCGGTGCCAAGGTCATCGCCTCGTTGGCAGCTTGTGACACGTTGTCGGCCATAGGGAGGTGACGAGCCGGAACGTAGGGGGCTAGAGGAGGTCCGCGTGAGCGAAGGGCGTAGGGGGGGGGGTCTGTGGTAGAAAGCGGCAGACGACGCTAGTGAATCTAGCGCGGGCGCCGTCAAAGGGGGAGGGGTGGTTTGGGTCCAGGGTGCCCGAATGGAAAGGGAAGGGGGGGGGGTAGGAAAACCCTAAACCCTAGAAAAACCCTAGGAAAACCCTAACCGGAGTTTGAATGGTTGGGGTAGGGTACTGATGACCTAATCAAGAAAATAAAATAGCAAGCATATGGGGGAAAGGCTAGAGGAAAAATAAATAAACAGCGAAATTTCGAGAGAAGAATAAAAATAAATAAGAAAATAAATCAATAATAAAATTAATTAAAGAAATAAGAAAATAAAATGAAGAGAGAAATAATATTTATTTTTGTAGAATTTTCGGCAGCAATTCTCTACCCCCCATGGGGTCAAGAATGTGCCAAGGGGAAAGGAGAGACCAAGATAAGCACACTGGGTTTCAAAATACCGCAAATTAATTTTTTTAATTAATAAATAAATAATAAATAAATAAATAAGTAAATAAGTGGATGAGGAGGTGGAAAGAAATGAAGTATCTGATTTCTCAAAATTTCAGCAACATTTCGTTACCCCCATGGGGTCGAAGTGTGCCGAAAAAACTAAGTGAAAGAAAATCAGAAAATTTCGGCAGCACTTCGTTAACCCCACGGGGCAAAATATGTGCCGAAAGCAAGAAAGACCAACTCCTAATCAGATTTTAAGGGTGCCACAAATAAATTCGAATTTTTAAAATAAGTAAAAAGAAAAATAAAAGAAATCAGAAAATGAGAAGGGAGGGGGCGGAATAAGATAATTCGAACTTTTGGAGAAAAGAAAAGATTTAAATCAAAAAGAAAAGGAAAGAAGAAAAACAAAAAAAATTGAAGTAGGGGGGGATGAAAAAGTGATGAAGAAGAGAGAAATAGCAGAGAGAGAGAGAAAGAGTGAAGTGGAAGATGGGGGAGATAAGATTAGTAGAAAATGGTGAGTGGGGAGGAGAGAAGAGAAAAAAGTGGTGGGAGATGAGTGAAGAGGGATGTGGTAGTGTTAGAAAGGATGAGTAGATGATGGGGGAAAAGAGAAAAGGGGTTGGGGGAGAGTAGGTTTGTGGAGAGAGAGAATACCCGACTCTTAGTTGGTCAAGAGCAAAGCACTATCAAGATCCACAGGATCTTAGCCTTCAAGGTGTTGCCGGCCTGATGCCACAACAATAAAAGGATGATGATGATGATCTAGGGTTGGCTGAGATCTTGATCAACCACCCTACTACCACAATCACACAGCCCCCTAGCCAGGGGGAAAATCTTGAGCTGCTGCAAAACTGTTGCTGCAGCAGTAGAACAATGGTAAAAAAAAAAAAAAAGTGGCGCAGCCCCCTAGCCAGGGGGGTCTTCAATCTTGAGACCAGGCTGCCACGTGGCACTGCAGATGGCCACGTGCAGGCAGCAGCAGCCAAGGGGGGGGGGGCAAATAGCAGCCCCGCCGTTGCTGCCCTGCTGACCGCTATTCGTCAGCGGGAGGGGGGGCGTGTAAATAGCTGACACGCACCTCTTCAACAGAAGTGTGCCACGCTATAAAGCCATATAGACAATATGGCAAGTGCTGTCTCTTATACACATCTAGATGTGTATAAGAGACAGGCACTGCAGATGGCCACGTGCTCGGGCAGCAGCAGCCAAGGGCGGGGGGGGGTGTAAATAGTTGGCACGCACCTCTTCAACAGCAGCGTGCCACACTACAAAGCCATACAGACAGTATGGTGAGTGTGTTACAAGGGCAGCTACGCACGCGCAAGCCCAACAACTGTTTGGGTTCAAACCCCGGCAGCAGCAAAATCCCGGATCTTGATAATATAATCCGGGAGCGGGGCGGGGCAGGGCAGCGGGGAAGCTTGGGCGAGCCGCGGCCTTGGCCTTGACGCTTGTGCTCACGCGCTCGTGATGGCATATGTTTTTTTCACCACGTGTCACTCTCTTGCTGCAACGTTTGTTTTCCCTCGTTTTCCTCATAATCCGCCCTAAAAACAACCAAAAACCATGCTATCGGGTTTTGTTGTTCTTTCCTGCTATGTGGGGTGGTGGGTGGGAGCGGGGAACGTTCCCGCTCCGATACCAGTGTGGTGGACCCACCAAGTGTGGTGCTCCGCCTAGGATACAGATAGAGATGGAGGAAGAAGGGGGAGCGAGATGGCACAACGCAGCTCCCACGCCAGATTCCAACGCACGTACTCCAAAGTGTGCGAATGTAGAATGAACTGGAAACATACAACAGCTGGGGTATACCCCTGCGGACTGACGGGACTGGACTAGACTGGCTGGTACCGACCGGTCTGGACTGGAGTACCCCGAATACAACACAGGCCTGTGAGAACCGGCCAAGGGGTTGGTCTTACAAGCCAACCAACCAGAGGTCCGCTACACCAACTACCTATATGTCTACGATAGCAGTCCCCTTGACGTAGCGAATCTGGTAGCGATTACAACCAGATCAGTGCTCCACTTTATATGTATTTCAACAAAATTGCAGTCCAAGCAATTCGTATGATTTAAAAAAAAAAAATAAAAAAAAAAAAAAAAAAAAAAAAAAACACAAACAAACAAACAAACAAAGGTTGTCACTTCTCAGTTATGAAGAGGAAAACCGAACAACCTAATGGCAACATGTAGAGGAACGACCTGCTTCAACAACATTCCATTGTGCAGCAAGTCACGACTTCGTCAAAGCAGCTTGGGTAAGTGTATTACCCACGTTACCTTCTCGTTCTTCTTCATTGTTTTCTCTTTCTTCTCCTTCTTCCGCCTTGTACTTCTCGTCCTCTCGCGCTCCTTCACATCTTACCTTTTCCTTCACATATGTTATTGTCTCCTCCTTTTCCAATCGTGCACCCCCTTTTAATTTCCTGAACTGCGCGTGTACTTCTTTCATCCCCTCTGCGCTTTCTACCATACATGAATTTTTGCAAATGCACTTGGTCATTACTATGGCCAGATTCATTAAACAAAAGATGGAATCTAAATGACCAGGTAACTCAGAATACGCCAGAGGAGATTTTATCGGCAACACAACTTGAACAACGATTAGTAAGTTTTTCTTACTGCTTTTTTTTTTTTTTTTTTCCCCTCTCTTCGTTCTCTTTTTTTTTATTATAATAACGTCTATCTTACTCCTCCTTCTTCTTGGTCTTGTACTCGTTTCCTTTCCTCGCTCCAGCTATTGTTGCCTCTTTCATGTGAACTCACATCTTTCTTCCTGTGTGTATTCTCGTTGTTTTTGCACCCCTCATCTTATTGGTGTCCTCGGTCTCATCATCTCCCCTTCGTCGTCGTCTCTCTCTCTCACTCACACACATACACATGCATACACACACATATCCACGCACACATACACACATACACACATACACACATACACATACACGTACTGTCACTATCTCCTATCTTGGCTATCACATGCACGAGAACGAGCTTGAAAAATTTGGGGGGCGAATAAAGACCTTGTGGAGCTTGACTCTAGTTCAACTATGTGAAATGACTTGAGAGGTGTAGAATAAGTGGGAGGTTTACAACACACGTACGTTCTCCTCAACCGCAAGGAAGATGCGTATATCATACAGCCAGGTAGACCTCTCTCTCCCCTTCTCCTCTTCTTCCTCTTATTCTTATTCATCTTCTTCTTATTTTATTTTTTTTGTCATCGTTGTCATTGTCTCAGTAGTAGAAGTCGCCCTTGCCTTCTTATCACCCACGGTATTCCTCTTCATACCCCTCAGTGTTCTTTTTCATGCCTTGTGATGCTCTTCCTATACCTCAATGCATTTCCTCATTCTCCTTGCATATGCACGTTTTTCTTCGATATACTCGTTCGGATGAAGTTCCCCAATGATTGTGGGTAGATTCATCGAATGATAAGAAAAAAAAAAATGGAAAAAGGTAATATACATATATATGCAGGGTTGCCAGACCGAACATACGGAGGCCCCTAAGCTGACCCCCGAACGTTCTTTTGCGGGGTCCGAACCCCTTCAGGTTCGGACCCCGCAAAAAATATTTTGGCACCTAAATATTGTTAGTTTTTTCTGAATTTGTTTTTGTCAGTTCTTTGTGATGTAAGGTACCTCCTTCTAAATTCTGAAGCCATTCAGCATAGCCAAAAAAAAATGAAAAGTTGGCAAAGATGGTGGTGTCAAAACTTGCTTGCCCACTCACTAATTTGTTTTTTCTCTTTTTTCCCTTTTTGTTTTTCCTTTATTTTGGGGCATGAACAAAATTATTATTTTTTCAAACTTTATTTGTAGATTCTCTATTATATTATATACACATATATAAAATTTTATGACATCTTTCACAAAAAAAAAAAAAAAAAAACTCGCCAAAGATGGCGGTATCAAAAACGTGCTCGCCCTCTCAATAATTTCATTCTCGTTATTTTTTTTTTTAATTGTCATTATTATTATTTATTTTTAGTTCAAGTTTGGGAAAGAATTTGGATGTAAAGTTGAGGCAAATGTTGTTTAGTTTATTCTTATGCATAATATATATATATTTTCAGAGTTTTTTTTTTTTTTTTTTTTTTTTTTTTTGGGTCCGCGTTCAGCCGAACACTCGAACGTGTCTCGAGGGGGTGCCGAACGTTCGAACGTTCGGGTTCGGGCGTTTGGCCCGTCCCGAACGTCGGCAACCCTGTATATATGTATATTTATATTAATAAAATAAATAAAATATCCAACTAACGTTAAATTAAACCACCACTCTACCTGCCATCGAAAACGTGGAATTTCGGCGAGTTTGGAGTGGATCTTTATGAGGGGCGCCGACTGGGAGGCGGAGGCGGGTCCCGCAGTTTTCACACGCTAGCTTTGGTGATTTTTCGTGCTTAGAAAAATAAAGAAGCAAATCTGAAAACTTGACATCCTGTTCCGATAAAAATATCAAAAAAATCAAAATCAATATTTTAAACCATGAAATAAATGTCGTGCAAATTTGTCACATTTTTCATTTTTGACATTCCAGCGTGCGGGCCAAAGGAAAAAGTACCCTAATTTCCAGTATTTTTTGCGCTTATAAAAATGCCTTGAAAACTCTTAGAATTGAAGGGTCTGTAAATTTGCTTATGATGTTTCCACAAAACATTATATATATATTTTAAAAATTGTTAGTCGATGAAATAAATATCGCGCCGATTTATCTTATTCTCAATTTTTGCCATTCTAATACTAGTGCGCCAACAATGAGAAACATACCTTGATTTCAACGATGTTTCACACTCAGAAGTATTCATAAAAAACTCAAAACAATTGAGGGGCAGTAGATTTGTTCGTGATCTTTCCGAGAAATATATATATATAGGTTACCAATGGTCCGACGGCCGGTCGTCTCCCCCGGACGTCTCCCCATACGTCCGAAAAAACTATTTTTTTTTTTTGTAAAAAAAATAATATATTTTGTTTTGGTTTTTGATTTTTAACTCATGTTTGACTGCGAATTTGAACATGCCTCCAAGGCAAAAGTTGCTTGTATTGTTATGTTACATAACATATATTTGTTTCAGATTTTTCTGAGAAGTGTTTTTTTTTTTTTTTTTTTTTGGCTAAGTCGCACATACCCTGTCCGGTCGGACATCCCGGACGGTCAGGGGGGTCCCGAACGTCCGATCCAACAACCTAGATATATATTTATATTTATATATATATATGTATATATATATATATATTTATATTTATATATATATATATATAAACTCCGACGAAACAGTTTGTCACAGCCCCTCGTTTGTTGTCCTCTTCTCCCTCTCTGCCTACGGTTTACCGGGCAGTTCTATACAAAACTGGTCGGTAAACCGTAGGCAGAGAGAGAGAAGAGGACAACAAACGAGGGGCTGTGACAAACTGTTTCGTCGGAGTTTCACCGACTCGTCAGGAGGCTGAACCCTGACCCCATCACAAGCCAGCAAAATATATATATACAGAGTCACCATCCCGTACGTACCGAGATCCCCGGGCCGACCTTCATACGTACGGGCGTTCAGGGTCCCGTTCAGGGTCCGAACCTGAAGGCATTCAACCCCCGTCAAAATTTATTTAGGGGCCGAAAAATAAGGGTTTTTTTTTTTTTTTGTAAGTTCTCTATGATTTGCGGTACATGCCTATAAATTTTGAAGACATTCTGCTTAGCCAAACAAAAAGTAATGAACAACTAGGTAGCAGGTGTGATGAACACTCATAACGAGCAATGGCAAGTAGCGTGAGGGCATCACGCCAGCTAGCCTAATAAGGTGAGTGCCTCCTCCCTTTGCGCACTACCTCCTTTCTCCCGTGTGCTAGGTCTCATTCTACCGTGCGTTCTCCACCTACTTTATGTTTTCTTTTCTTACGTCGTTTTTTTCATTTCTTCTCATTTGCGCTCATCTCTTCTCACTCTCACTCTCGATGAACCTTCTTCCTTCCTATTTTATTCCTCTCATCTTCCCTATTGTTCCTTTTTTTTTTTTTTTTTTTTTTCCTTCGTACTTTCCTTCCCTTCACATGTTACTTTATTAATGCGTTCGCCTTTCTTCCCCACGCTCATCTTCTTCCTCGTAGTCATCTCATTGACTGTTATACTCATCAGTTGCATCGTCATAGTCGTTGTCATTGTCGCCAACGCAGGTGTTTTAGTAGTAGTCATCGTGATTGTAATCATCATGGTCATTCTTGTTCTCTCTCTCCCTTCATGTGATATTTTTCATATCGTATATCATGATTTTCTTTCTTCTCCGCTGTAATCCCCATATCCATGCTCATCTCTCTCATGTGCCCTCGTTCAGTTCGTTGCTTGCGCCCATACTCATCTTGGTGCTTGCGCTCAAGCTCAGACTCATTCATTTTTCCTTCACGTGGTTTTCCCTCCATCGCTTGCCCGTCCTCGATCTCATCCTTGTCTTCCACCTCGCACCCATCCATCCACAAACACCTCTTCCTTCTTGTGCTACCCCCTTTCACCGCGCTCAATCATTGTCCGCCTACCAAAATTTCACCACCCCATACTCACACCGTTCCCTTCTTCATCCTCAAGTGAGTCGTCTTCCTTCATAGCGTGGTCATCCCTTGCATGCACGAACGGGGTTGACACAATGATGTTCACAGGGTGATCCATGCTGCTACAGTAAGTCGGCTACCGTTAGGGCAAGTTAAATTAAACCGCCACTCCCCCCGACAACCGAAAACCCTTAGCCTTCTCAGTTAGGGCCGGGTTCTACAGAGGGGCAACGACCGTTTATTACCGGCGGATCCAATCCCGTCATTTGAAAGTGGCAACTTTAACGATTTTTCGTACTTAGTAGAATCATTCAAAAATTCTGAAAATTTGAGGGTCCGTAAATTAGATTGTGAATTTTCAAGGAAAAATATCAAAAAAATTAAATAAAATCATTTTAACCATGAAATAATCGTCATGCCGTTCTGGCGTATTTTTATGTTTTCAATTGTGGTTTTTTTTTTTTTTTTTTTTTTTAACAGAATCTTACGGTTCTGGCTCCTTTTTCATTTTGGGGAGCATCAGTCCGGTTCCTATTCCACCGGCAAGTCATAAATGATTACAAAAGGTACTCATACACGCTCCTCCCCTTTATGGTATGAAGGCCCGAAAGACGACATTGATTATTTCCCATGGGAAGGATGTACCATCATTCACCCCTACCTAAGTTAGCTTATTTGACGTAATCTTGGGCTTGTAAGACCTCTCGAAGTTGTGAACTCTGTAATGTGGTATCTGTCTGTTGGACAATCTGAGCTTCCCCTAGTTCTTCCTCTCAGCTATAAGGCTGTCAGATCTGTGTGTATTGCTGGAAGAACTAGGTTTGTCTTCCACTGGTCTTTAATCCTAATGTTTTTTTTTTTTTTTTTTTTTTTTTTTTTTTTTTTTTTTTTTTAAGCTGTAATAGCATAATCTGTGTGTCCCTCATGGAGTCCTCCTGAAAAACATTACCATTCCAAACCTTGTTTGTGTAAGTCTATCCAAACCCTAAACCCTAACTTGAAACCCTTAA